TATTCAAAGGACTATATTTTATTGATCTCTCTATCATTTGACCCGTCCAAACATCTATTTCAAGCTTTAATTTCCCTTTGTGCCAATGTCCCAACGACTATTAATCGCCTTTTCATATTTTATTGTTTCCAGTGGGCACCATTTCAAGTAACAAATTGTTCGAAATGGTGTCTACTGGAAACATCAAGTTAGTCATTATTACAAATGTTGAAAGTTTAATGAATAACAATATAAATGTTCCCAGAACTAGGTAGTTCGCAATACTTCTTAAAGACCTTTCAACAAAGTTATATAATAATTATAGTGCGAGAGGTTTTTTTCCCCTCAAATTCAGTGTAGAAAAATCAATCAGTTTAAAACATATCCGATCGTGTTTCAATTTTTTTTTTAAAACATACCCTAAATTTAAACTTATCTATGCGCATTCCAGTTTATTAACATAATATGCTTAATATCCAATGAAATCTCACTTCATTTTCCCGGAAATTTTATAAGTACATTATAAAGGAGCATTTTGACCTTAAGGGTTAATAGCAAGTACTTTAGTATAAAAAAACTTCCAGTGCAAATTATGTGACCCAAAATTATGTGCTTGGCTGCATGTACATGACTCTTTCGACCCAAGTTCCGGTTGCTAGTCAAATATATTACTCACTTTAATACTGGATATTAATATGCTAGTTCTTAAAGATACTAATATGACAGAGTACTGAAAAGAGATCAAAAAATCAACTAAAACTTTGGTCTCTATAAATGATGATACTTGGCTATTTCTCCTTCACCCTCAGTTCAAAAAAATTATGCAAGGACAGAATCGCCATTAGCCATAATTTCATAACTGGAAAAATAAATATCTAAAATTTCTCTGTTACAAGTTAAAAACTGAAAGCAAAATTTTCGGAGGTATACTGACTAAACACAGGATTCTCCAAATGTCAAATTTCTTCAACTTATCAAATAAAAGAGCTATACAGCCATGCATTAATCGTGCCAATTCTCCAAATCGGTACACTTCGGAAGCAAATGTCCAAGCGAAAATAATAAATTCATGAAATTAAAAGTTCGTCGACAACAGCAAGACAGGAAAAATCAATCATGGTGATTTATTTTTATCTTAAAGTTTGAAATCTAATATATCACAATCCCAAAGGCTAACCTGAATTTCCGGTGTAGAACCCAAAGTAAGAGAATCTGCTTGCAGTTGATAAGGTATCTGAACAAACGGTGTCGACGCATTCGATCCCAACGTATCACTAGTCGACTTCACTGATTTATCGTCATTTCTTTCAACCGTTTTTCCATCTTCTAGTTTTACAGCATTTATCTACAAATGTATGCCAAAGTATTCCAGTGCAATATCGCTAGTTATTTTCTTCTGTATGACATAAAAATTAGCCTTATGTAATCATTTCAGTCATTTCAGGTCATTTCCACATTTCTCACTAAAACTATTTCTTTATTCCTCGCTAAGGGAGGAAATGCTATCTACTTCAATGCAGACAAAAAGTATATATAATATGCGCAATCTTCCATCTTGTTTAAGGAAGAGTTTTTAAAGCATTCTACTGGAATTAGCCTTTCATATGAAGTGTCTTCTTCCTAAGAATAAAAAATTTTTAAAAATCTGTTTCTTCCTACGGGGAAATCGCTTTTCACAATTTCTCTATGTATTGAATTAATGCACTACATTTCCGAAGTTAAAATAAGTATTTCAATAAAAAACAATAGGGTGTAAATACATCCTGAAAGTTCGAAAAGAAACGATAACATGTGCAGCGTTTTTCTATTATATATAAAGAGTTAATTCTGAAAGGACTATATTAATTAATCTGATATTTGATGTTTGGCAAATAAGACTAAAAGATTGTTCAGAAGGCTAACATATATGACCGATATACGGTATTTTCAGCAACGGAAAAGAAATCACGTTGCATAATTGACTGTGTTATCCTTGATGATCTCAAAGAAAAATATGTACACAGTCGGAATATAACGCCACTTTGTTTATGAAAATAAGCAATTGCAGTAACTCATCATTCCTGATTAGAATTGAGGATGCAGATTTAATAAAAATTTCTAAAATTTGGCCTATGGATAACTTACGAATTTCATGTCAGCTGCATTCAAACTTCCAGCAGATGAGCCCAAAACGTTAGCGATCATTTGTGTGCAAAGCGAATTTTCTCGAGATCTTATAGATCCAGCAATACCAACACTGGTATTACCTTGCACCATAATTGGATTGCTAACAGCATGCTCTACAAAAACAAAGCCAAATTAAATACATCAAATCTAACTAATCTGTCAAATTAAACCGCTATTAATCATAGCAATACAATTGCTGCATTGATTTAAACTAGGTGTATTTGCAAGTGCATTTCAAAACTTTCAAAAAAGAAAAAAATTTCCGCCTCATCCGACATACAACTGTTGCAAATTTAGCCTGAATAAAGATTGGCTAAAATCCATGAAATATTAACAGTCTGTCAATTACAGCATATGGACAGAGAGGATGCTGCTTATGATTAAAAAAGAGAAAAAATGACTAAGTACCTAAAAAAGTGCATCGAATATAAAATCTTTACAACGAATTTACGAAAACTAACCTGATCGCATGCTACTCCACGAACTCGGATAGTGATTCGACCACTGTTGTTCAGCCATTGCCATAATGCTATCTTGCTCTGGATATCTTCGTTATGAAAAGTATGACAGCAATTGAAAACAGTAGAAATACAACGCGCAACGCAGATATAATACAGTTTTGTACAAGACCTGTAAACAAATGATTTGCGCTAACTTGGAAAAGTAACAAGAAAATAACATCAAATCGAGCAGAGTGAAAATGTATCGTGATGCATCCCGTTTAGTAACTGTTGCTGCTTGATATATACCCACAACATATGCTACCAATTTTTTATACTTTTTTGGTTTCCCAACATTAAAATAAACTTCCAGTCAAAAATTTCTGAAAGAAATTTTACACATAAGATTATAAAAGATAAGAATGCTTTAACTCGACAAACTGTCATTCACAGTATGTATATTGATATGAAATGCCATTATTGCTGTGACCAACTTCACAAGAATGTAACTTATATTTAATAAAATAATGTGCATTCGTCAAGCGTAAGTGTGTAGTTTCGTGCAGCTGTGATTAAATAGAAATTAGATCATTTCTCTCCTTTCCTCTTCCCCACATCATCGACGAAATGCTAACAAATCTGTAAATACTATTCAATATCAGTTAAGAAGAGATGATCATCCCTCTCTCTCTACGTAAACGATTTAAAGTAGGAAGACGTTAGGAAAGTACATAAATAAGAGAAAACCAACAATCTATTATTATATTAAAATAAAAATAATTTTCCCATGGATAGCTTTCATTTCGATTAATATTTTTAAAATTCAGACAATTTCATTACATGTATTATGCTGATTACATATCGATTATCAACACGCAATGTTCCCAAAAATGCGGACAGAGCGTGAAATCAATTATGGGACGAGGAAGCAACAGAGTGAGGTAAAATTATATCGCAGTTAAAAAAATCCAAATAATCGAAAAAAAAGCACGCAGAGGCAAACATACACATATATACGCATATACGTATAAGCCAGGCAAATAACTATCGTACGAAACAAGTTCATATCCAATTGCGTACAGTCTGTTGCAATTGGGGATATGCCAAAATCAAAAAAATTAATACAGATCAAAAATCAAGTAACAGTGAAGCTGAAAGCAGCATTTATGGCATGAAAGTATAAGAAATTAACAGAGAAGAGCACTGAGTACTAAAACTGATCATAGAACATCCATGAAATCTTCAAGTATAGAGGAAAAATATGCTAGACTAATTTACTGTTATTAGCGCCAGCCTTTCAATGCTCAGTGAAAAGTGGATGAGTTGCGATTCTTCTCAGATTTTGTGAATGATTTGACTTTAAATCGAAGTCAAAGCCAAATTAGCTGAGCAGAACGAGTTATGACACTTGAGAGCGCACAGCAAACTTGCTTATAGCAACCAGAGTTTTCGATAATTACATTACCCGTCAAGTATAACCTCTCTTTATCGGTCCCTACAGAATCCACTCCATGTCGTGAGGAAAAACCCCTAGCCACTAAAAGTCATTCATTAAAAACTTTTTTTGAAGTTACAAATGAATATAAAAATGACGTCTCACTTTAGTCATGTAAACCAAATCAAACTAAACGCAATTATTCTATAATTATGTGCTTCCTCTACGAAATCTTAAAATAGAAAAAGAATATTATATAATATAGTCTGCAGCATATACTCTTCATATTCTCCCGAAGCAAGCATATTACAGCCTAAACAGACAGTACCACATCAAATTTTTCACCTTTTAGAATACAATATATTTAAGTAAAGGATAAACATCACCAACAAAGCACCAAATCAAATGGGTGCTGAACTGCTGAGAAGTAAGGCGTTATAAGCAGTCTAATTTGAGAAGTTATAAAAGAAATTATTAAAATCAAATTAACGTTACCTTTTTTTCCAGTTATTAGAAAAATTTATTTTTCCAAAATATAGTATTAGAATGGAAATTTTGAATTTATCCGATAAATTGGAAGTAAAGTCAGCACGAAGATTGTCAGAATCATAGAGAGTAAACGAGAGATTTTATACAGCCCTTTCAATATCAAACAAGCAAAAAGTGAAAACTAGTGGGAAAAGAGACGAAATTTCAACTTAATTTGCATGATTTAAGCGAATAAAGTTCAACCTTTCATCCATCTTACCTTTTACCAATGAAATAACACAACAAGTGTGGATAACAGAGACTGATATCGTAGATAGGTAGATAGATTGATCAAAATATTTAAACATAACGGAAAGCATATTAATGATACTCTTCCAACAATATTTCTGCACGAAAAAGAAACCCAGACGGGTTTCAATCGATCCAACCAACCACTATAGTACAAACAAGCAGACAGACAGACAGACAGACAGACAATTACGCATAGACAGATGTGCAGACATGTATGCAGGCAACTATTAGTAACACGGAAGAATGCAGATATGTACATACCTACATGCACAGGTTAAACTATCAAAATTTACTCCCTGCTAACCATGGGATTAATCGTACAAATGAGAGAGATGAGAGTAGTATATTCCGGTTAACAAACACTGCAAAACCAACCAAACCGAAGCAAAGCAGTCATCAGCTGGATCGAGACACAATTAATCATATCAACATCTGCACGATGGAACGATGAACTTGTTGGAAATGATCAAAAAACGATCTCGAATAGGCAGCGAAATAGAAGGAACAACGACTCATCCCATCCCGTCGATAACGGCTGCTTTTGCTCCTGCCGCCGCTTACTACTGCTTACTATTATTACCACTATCATTACTACATTACTACTACTACTAGCTGCTGTCGCCATAGAAGAGGGGAGAGAATTGGAAATGGATAAGTCTCAAGTACGGACAAGACAGTCCATATCTCGAGAACGCGGATGGCAACTGTCCAAGTGAAAAAAGAAGCGGAGAGAAAGGGGAGAGGGAGAGAGAGAGAGAGAGAGAGAGAAGTAGCTGCAGGAATTCTTGGCAACAATACGAGGAACTACTGTTCCATACAATACTCCCACTTCATACACCTCCTCCTTTTCCCTCCCGCGCACAGACCACCCACTCAGCTAATCCTCGGAACAGAATCGATACACGAGAGGGTCAATGAGTCACTGAGTCAGACAGCGAAACAGCACGCTCTACGTCTCTGAACGTCGAGATAGTGTAGCGTGGCACGACATCAGACTTGACGGTTGCGAAAGCCTCGTGATATTTACTCACTTCTTTTTAGGACTAATAACGACAATCGCTCCCAAACATTTGCTCTCTCTTGCAGCACAGCAACGTGCTATGCAGCGTCACGACACTGGTCGAGATGCGGAGATTATACGTTGCATTTCCGATGCTCTGATTCTGATTCTGATTCCTTACAAATGACAACGAGCTATACAGAAGAAAACGATGATGATGAACATGTTAAGAAGTTGTTCGATCTATGAATAATCATTTAATGGAGGGATTGGATACGATGAAGGATGCAACCAATCATTATTGGCTAAAACTAACGATAACAACTACATCTGATTATGCATTCTTACAAATATTAGCCAAATTACCAATGATCAGTTATATGTGATTGCATTAAATAGCGAGATAAATAGACGATACATATTTTGTAATAGCAAAACAAATTTAATTAATAAAACGATCTTCTTACTATCATTTATATTATAATCTCTGTCTGACTTAGCCACTTATTCAGCTTATCCATACACATCTTCCTGCCAATACAGCTAACCTTAGAACAGCTATGTATATGTACACGTTTCGCGTATCACGTACCACGTACATAGCCCAACATCAATACACTCACAAGCCTTAACCCCACGAAGATTATAATTCGCAATGCAAAAAAAGCCTACGAGACGCTCATTTCAGATGCCATCACAAATTTGCATTTGTACGTCGTCTCGTTATAATACCCTGCACCGTTTCTCCCATGAAAAACACAATCCCACAAGGGCAATTTCAAAGACTGTACAAAGCTTGGCTTTTTTTTTGCTCCATACCTGTGCTGATACAGTTAAGAGTTATAAACAGCGAACTAGCCAAGCATAATTAGCCTGTTCTGTTGATCAATATTTGCCAAATGGATTATTTGACATCGTGTTGCTCTGTTTGTTTAATTGTTTTTAATTCGTTATAATTTTTTTTTTAGCCAGCTAATCTATCGACATTATTTTAGTGGACTTACCTCACCTTACATTATTAAATTGTCTAAATTTGGAGAGATGAAAATTGGTGTATGCAAAATAATTTCTTCCGTACGATAATATTTGGTGCTTAGTCGATCATTTACTTACAAAAAGTATAATTAATGCATGAAGATTAAGAAAAAATTTTAATCATTTATTTATCACTTCATGCCTTTCTTCTACCCTGTCATTCACTTTCTTACTAAAATTAACTTTGTGCATGCACTGAAATCGAATCTGTGCAGTAATAATAAATTTAAATTAATAATAAATTTCTGTTTTCGTGATGAAAGGTGAAATTAAAGAAAGACTGTTGTGGAAAATTGGCGATAGTGAAAAACTATTTTAAAAATTTTAGATGATTCAACTAGCTTTTATTTAGTTAACACTAATAAATATTACATCTGTTATCTCCGTGAATGTATTGTATCGATCCAAAACTAAGCGATTTTCATATTTTATAATTTTTGATAAATTCATCCGTTTTGCTGGATAAAAGTTTTTTGAATTTTTACTTAAAAAAAATCACTTTCTCCAAATAATTGAACTTCTCCAAATAGAATTGGAGCTGCAAAGCTATCAGAAGTTTTATGAGCAGTTTTTTTGTGTAATTTTTATATGGTATAATGCTGAATTCTGATAAATATTTTTTCCTTTTTTAAACACAAATATGATTAAAAAATGAATTGAACATTTGAAAAAAGCAATTCAGATTGTTTTCAAACTGCTGAATGATTTGATCTACAGCTTAACTGAGAGATATATAATATCGATCGTTAAAATTTCAATTCTTTGAGGTATTTATGCTTGACACTATCTCGTATTGTGATTAAAAAAGTTAAATTTTCCAGTTAACTAATATATCTTTATTCAAAAATTTCTCTTCTATCGTTTTTTAAATGTTCAGTTAAATACCAAAGTCTGAGTGTAAGGCATTAATTCAAAAATAGATTTTTTAGATTATAAAATTGCTTCAATCAATGTAATGGCAAAATTTATAATTAATTACTTTTGAATGTTCGAATAATTTGAAATTACTCAAAAATATTCGTATCAAGTGAACTTACGTAACGAATAACTTTGAATTGTAATACTTATATAATTACTATATGCTTATTTGACAACATTTCTATTATTGAAAGAGAAATAAATGAAGTTATAGATTAATAGAATCAACAAATAGTGCTGATGAAAGTAAACCTAAGAAGGATGAAGAGGAAAAACATCAAATATATATCTATAAAAATAAATTTAAGAGAAACTCTGACAGATATATTTTAACTTTTACTTTGACAACAAATTGCTCATTTATTTGCTTTGACGAATATATGCGATATTTAAATCGATTCCTGTATTTGTAAAAAATTTCTTCCATTATAGAATTATTCACTAAGGAAAATGACAACAACATCTAACAATTTTACGCTATAAAATAAAGCAAAATTCTTATCACAATTATACTTTTTATCACATAAACGTTTTAGCATATACTTTTTATCAGATATGTCTTGTCAGAATGTATTGATAAGAAATAGTTTTTTTTTCTAAAATGAAAAGATTATTTAAAGTTTGCTAGGATTGGTAACAAACACAATTATTAATTTTAATCCGGTGCTATCACTTAAAAGAATTATAATAATCTCATTTTTGGAAATTTATAATACTGGTAAACCTTTTATTTTTTGGCAAAACTATTTTCAAAATAATGTAATGATTAATTCATCGTTGATGTTTGAAAATATTAGTAAAGATTTCAACATTTGGGGACTAATAAGTTAATGCTAAATTAGGGAGTTGTTGATTAGAAGTATGAGAGGACGTGTTATCCCGTTAATTAATGACTGTAATGATTTAAAGCAATAGTTATTCATAAAAAATTAATTAGAAGTTAGATTGAAAAAAAATTGAGAACAGTCATTTCGGAAATTTTCAAAATAAACTTATAACAGTCGTGAAAATGTGAGAGAAAAGAAATATTGTATTGAGAACTTTATAAGTATTATTAAGAAATAACAAAAATTACAGAAGAAATAATCTAAGAGCATGAGAATGTAAATTTTGCTTATGAAAAAAAAAATAAATTGCACGATAACTGGGAGGATAAATAAATCGTATTAATAAAAGGTTGAATTGAAATGACGCAAAATTATTTTTAAACTATCATTATCATTTTAGTCGTAATAATAGCAATAGTCAAATGGAGCAAAGATATATAGAGTTAGTGGAAAATAAGTAAGAAATATTATAAAATAAAACGTCCATGATTCTTAATTAATCGAAAATAATAAAAATGACAAATGTTTAAAATTTGAGAGTAAAGTTGGCGAGGGAAAGGGAGGAGGAGGGGTGAAAGGGTAAAGTAAAAGGAATTAACAAACAGTTTTCATTTAAGCATTCATTTGAGCTTGCATCGAAGACAAAAGGAAAATAATTAACAAATTTGCTACAGCAAATGCGAATGATTCATTTGAAAAGTATTTAGCAAGAAAATTAAATAATTTGAAGCAACGTCAAACAAGAAACTTCGCTAATCATTAATAATAGTATAGCGGAAGTGGGGAAATTTGAAATAAATTATATCAAAGAAAAAGAAAAGAAAAAAGGAAAGAGGAAAATTTTAAAAAACCGGAAAAGTGCAAGAGTTTTCTTTATTTAATTTTAAAATTATTTAATCATCGATGAAAAATTGAATAGTTAGGCAATAATGCAAAAGATTATTAGTTGTTCTGTTTGATAATAATGGAATTTTTTAGTGTATGAAAAATTTAATCCGATAGATTTCAAATAAGCATATGAAATTAAAGAGTATATTAAAATTTTGAATAGAGTAATCGAAAAATTTTTTAAAAGAGAAATTAAGCTTGACAATAAAAAAGAACATAAAACATACGACTGATATAATGCAATAATGTATCATTCATCAAAAAGAATTTCAAAACTATTGATATTCGTAATAATTCGATGAAATTTGACTTCAATTGAAAAAACATTACAGAGGCGAACGCTCGAAACAGAATAAACAATAAATTTTTAATTTTTTGCAATGATCTGAAATACAATTATTTGAAACATTCTGTGCATATTAAGATTCATAATGATAAGGAAAAGCAAGATAAGAGATAACAAATCAAAATAATTATAGTCAATAGATTAAATTTTCAATTAAACAAGAGGTGAAACAAATGAATAATGAAGAATTTTAAAATTAGCATACGATGAATGAATTATTACAAGAAATATTAATCTTTTTTCGGATATTAATTAGCACTTTTGATTGATTAAAAAACATTTCTTATACATTTTTAAATAAAATTTTGAAATTTATTATAACAAGCACGCGCTATAACAAGCGTGTGCTAACAGGCAGCATTAGTATAACAAGCAGTATAGCGTGTGCTAGCATTAGTATAACAAGCATACGCTTAGAAAGTAATTTGCAAAAGAATAAAGAAAGTGCAGGAAATAATGTACTTCAACATATGCTAACTTATAGAAGAGCTATTCTTAGTCTAAGCATTCATACTCCATACTAGCAAACGATGAATCATTGATTTGCTAACAATTCTCCGACATTAGAAGATATTGAAGTTTGTAATATATAATATTTTACCTAAACTTACCTACTTAAATATTAAATTTATTAAACTAAATCATTAACTGATCAATTTTCATGCAAAAAAGATTTAGTAATAGTAAAAAAAAAACCAAACGTGAGATATATTCCGTCATTCATTTCGTGTTTCTTTACAAGCTATAAAAAACTATTTGATTACAAATTTATTTGATTGTAATTAAATAATATAAATAAAATAGTTGTCATGCTAACAACATGCTATTATGCTATCAATTAATTAGACTAAAAGGTAGTAGAAAGATACGATTAAAAAAGCGAAGAAGTCAGAATTAATATAACAAAATTTTTAATCGATCATATAAATTTTAATGAAAAATGCCAGTAACAATTTGTCATCAATGAAATGTCTTTACTTTATAGTTCGATTATTAAATAAAATTATTTTATATAATTTCCAAATAACACCGTTCATTTTTATCTCCTTTTTCAAGCAAAAGATTTCATCATTTATTGTCAATTACTTCAAATGAGATTTCTTTATCTGAATTTAGCATCAAATAATTTAATATGAATGTTAAAATCTGGTTTAATGAATGTGCAATTCATAT